CGTCGTGTCCCTCGATGAGGCAAAGCTTACCGAGGTGCTCGTTCTACCTCTACCGGCCTGAGGTGGCCGAAACGAAGCTATGACATGGCGGGGTCTAACCATGACGAGCACGGCAGGTGCATCACGGTGGCACTAGCGTTCCTAAGCCCATGTGGCTCAGCAAGGACGAGCCTTGGCTCGTGTGCGTGTGTGCGCATGTGTGGTGCATCATGACATCAAAAAGGCCAGCCTTTGGCCCTCCCAAGTGGGAGAACATGGTGGCGTGGCCATGGCGTGTCCACGATGGCGAGCATGGGAGATCTGCATCGGGGTCTCACCATGGTGGCGGGGTAGGTAGGATGGTGGCGCTGTGATGAGGCGAGGCCGTGTCGAGTCGGTACAGTGCCGTGCTGAGCTGCTATGCCGGTGTAGACCATCGGGGCGTCGTCTCCGGCTCCGCCAGCGGCTCCTCGACGGCAGCAACTCGGGCTTCCTCCTTCTCCTTCCCTCCTCCCTTCTCCTTCCTTTCTCTCGGTCTCGACATGTGGTTGGTGAAGCCACCAGTGGCAGTGGGGTCGATGGGAGAGGGCTAGGGCACCGGGTGTGCCCCTTTATAGGGAGGCCGTGGCCATGGCGAGCGGCGAACGGTGGATGGAGGCGAAGGGGGTACGTGGAGGGCGATCAAGGGCTCCTACTTAGGGTTCTGGGGAGCGGGGGAGCGCAGGCGGTTTGCCGCTCTCTAATTCGGACGCTAGCGATCAAAAAGGCAGACGAGGTGGCATCAGCGTTGTGGGGCCGCGACGGCGACGTCAGGCGACGCGGGCGCAAGCTAGGGGCGGGTGCTGCCGCGGAGCCGAAAGGTGAAGCGGCACTGCCAGGAGATGTTCCGGCTCATGGACATCCTTGTGAGCCACAACCAAAGAAGGGATGCTGATGATGGCCAAGATGGGGGCGGAGGCGGCGTCGAGCAGGAGCAGGACATTGTCGACGTTCTGCTCAGGATCTAGAAGGAGGGCGACATGCGTGTTTCTCTCAACCATGGAGTCATCAGGGCGGCGCTGATAGTAAGTAATAAGCTCTCTTATTTACCTGCTTATTCCTATACTTGAAATGAATTTTACTTACACACATACATACTAGTAGCGTGCCCATGCTAACGCTACGGCAACATTCGGGTTGAAATTAGAACCACCGAAAGATATCACAAGCACAAGTTGGTACTCCCTCAATTACATTCCAATGTTTTCCTTTATGGATAATTGCGCTGTAACTCCACTAATTACAATACAACTACACGTATAATTGGAATTTGCCATGAATCCTAACCTGAGCAGTGGAAATAACCTCCACCGCATCACCATCACATATATCATTATCACATTGCATACTTAATAATTAAATACGCGGTAAAACAAGTTCTAAGCTCTAGTAGACGTGGACGTGCGACTGCATGTGTCTTTCAAAATTAATTTCTTGGAAGAAAACAATGAACATTTTTAGGAGTCCCCCACATCGTATCGTTTCTAATATAATTTATATGGGGTTACAAATTCAAAACATAAGACTATAGTAAATTTTTTACACAAAAAAAATCTATCTCTTGGATGTGTTCTGAATTTTTATATTGAGGATGAACCTCGACCTGCACCTAACCTTTTGCATCTTGTCTATTAGCAACACAACCAAATCTTCAATTTAAGGTGGAACTTTAGCACCCTTGGATGATCTTGACTCTGGCATGGTCATTGATAGGTCTGAGGGAGGTTTCCAATCTTCATGCAGAGTTGCATTTTCATCTAGAGTTCTTTGACTTAGAACCAAACAAGAAAAATAGTGACTCCTGGTGCTACGGCAGTACCTTGGACTGCTCCTTATATAATGCCCTGCTTGTTTCCTTGGCTATTGGTTAGCACCCTTTCACTATTTACTACCAAAACAAAATCATAAGACCTTGTATAATAACTAAAACGGCTTCTGAGAACTTAAATCTAAGTTACATAAAAGAGAATTGGGTCAAAACATGAGAAAAGTGACATAGAACAGTACTCCAGAATTAAGAAAAAAGGGTGTACCCAGTGCAGAAAGCTCCCGCTCTGTGCGGGGTTTGTGGAAGGGTGTTAGTGGCAAGCCTTACCCTCGCCTGTGCAATGCAAGGAGACCGCGACTCGAACCCGGGACCTTCCGGTCATAGGAGACGAAACATAATATGTTAATTAATATTTCTAACAATGCAAATTGGTTCAGAGCACGAGAAAAATACTGAATGGAAATTACATATATCTCAGACTCATTTGATCCTAAAAAGAGTTATGCATGCGACGAAACAGACCAATCCAAAGGAGTGTTATGGCTATTGCAATAATAAACATGCAGAAGTTTTACTACCTTATCAAAAATAACTTTGAAGAGCAGTCAGTGGAAAAAAACACAAATGACTCTTTATTTTGATGTAGTAGTTGTTTTTCTTTAGCACATATGAATAGGTTTAGAAAGAATCGAGTGGCCACTCATACCACAGTATATAACCATTATACTATTTACATAATCCTTGGCCTTGAAATTGTCATAAATAATCAGTTGTCTTCTTAAACTAAATATCAAGATCACCTTGACAAAGTTGAAGCAAAAATATTACAAAAAAACAGAGTTTCAGCGTGTTTAGTTCCACCCCAACTTCCAAAAAGTTGCTACAGTACCTGTCACATCCAATGTTTACGGCCCATGCATGGAGCATTAAATGTAGACAAAAAGATAAACTAATTGCACAGTTTGGTGGGAAATTACGAGACGAACGTTTTGAGCCTAATTAGTCCATATTTGAACATTATTTGTCAAATAAAAACGAACGTGCTACAGTAGCCCCAAAATCCAAATTCCTACAACTAAACAAGGGCTTTACCAGGGTTAGAGCATGTTGCACCACATAATTGTTATTTGCAGCTCATTATGGTTGAATATATAAAAAAGGAAAAGTCGAGCCATGTTGGATTATTAATTAAAATAGTAAAATGCAAACAAAAAATATTTTTTTATAAAATCAATTTTTCAATGATCTAAGGCATAAAAGTGAATCACTTGACAGCCAATAAGTCTGATATAATAATTGCTACAACTCTGGTCATTAACCTTGCTTTGATAAGCTCTCAGCTTCCATGTTTCAAGACCCAGAAGCATCGAGTTCCTCCTCCAAAATAAACCGTATGTGTGAACCCATGAAGAACAGTCACAACATTGGTATAATTCTGAAATACAAAGTCCAGAAATAGAATAAGGGAGTATGGAAGAATATTGATGATCCGCTTGATTTGTGAACCCATGAAGTATAGCTTATTATGACTACAATTCACAGTGCAATCCGACCTTCCAATGAATATGGTCTCCGTATGATCATTCCCTACGTAGAGTGCTAAGGGATGGCCAATTACTCAATTCCCAAATGAACACCCATTTATTTCAGAAATGTTTCCATGGTGCTTAGAAGAAAAAAACAGGAATAAGCATTGACCATTTAAAAATAACAAACTTAGTAACATAGAGTTGAGCTTAACAAAACCTGCTGTTGTAATCATAGAAATCCTCAAGGTCAGCATCTTCATCATCTCCACCATCTCCATACCGCAACTTGCAATGCCCCTTTGCATCCATGTGTTTCGTGACAGCCTCTAGACTGAAGAAGCATCTGTCACTGCATGCAACAGAGTAAGATAAAATGATGCTTCACTTGCAGGTAGGATAACCAATTCAACGTGAAGATTAAACTGCATGTTTGCACACACACAACATTTGATTTTAATCCGATGAAAATGTATACCCTTCAGTCCGACATAATAAAGAAGACCGCTGGGATCCTTCAAGTATTCACTGTTAGGTACGAAAAAACCCATGCTTCTTGCATGTTTGAAGTAGAATCATCAGCCAACTCCATCTCGCTTGGGTCAACTTCAACCCACTCTTCCTCCTCATCGTCATCTTCATCCTCCTCTCCTGGAGATGGAGCTCTGCGTGGGAGCCGTTCATCCAACAATAGTAGCTTGAAAACTCATCTGCAATACAAAAAGTTAAACCTTGAAAACTACGGAAAAAGCACAATAGTAGCTTCAACATTGCACCAAAAATTGCCACAGGCACAGCCTATCAAATTCACATACATTATCATTGGTTTAGACATATCTTTTTTTTGTAATTTGTGTTTGCTTTTCACTGGCCAATTCAGAATGCAAGTTCATTAACTAATATGGCTGTTCCTAAGCTATCAGTGCTAGAAGCTTCACCATGAGTTACCCAGAAAAAGGCCATAAATCTTATCCCAGAAAAATCTAGATCTTTATTTTCTACGGACCGGGGGCAAGCAACATTATTCCTTGAATCATTACATCTCTTCAATATCAGTATCATATCATCAGGTAAATGCATAATGTCAAGAAGAAACAACTGTGCCAACTAAATATAATAAACATAAAAAGCACTATAGGTACGCTCACCATCATTTCTATATTCTTATCTCTACTATAATCTCTGCAATAGCACATTACAATTGAACATCGCAAAAACTTATAAGAAAATTTGCAAAGCATCCATATGCAAGCTAACAGGAATCTCGAACCTATCTACAGAAATGAAAAAGAAATATATTCACCGAAACTATCTTTAAATAAGCAAATTCGGGAGGATCTGATGCGAATATACAACGCCTCCTAGTCCTAGTACCATAACCTAATTAACCTCTAGCATCAATAAGGCGCTAATTAAAAGGTCAATGGACATTACCTCACGGCAAACAGCTAGACAAGATCGAAGGGATAGGGAAAAGAAATTTTACATCAGCGAGGAACAAGAGATGGTCCTCATCAGCAAACTCGGGGAGTGGTACGGCCTTGATCTGCCCTGAGCCAACTTGGTGGCGACCTCCAGGATGCCGACGAGCTCTGTGTGTACGGGTACGCCGAGAGCTGGAGTGTCCCAGTCTCGCGGTGCGCCGGCCGGAGGTGAGGGCAACCCAATCGCCGGCTGGGTCCCGCACCATGGCGTGCCATGAAGAGCAGGCGTGTCAGGCGCCGCCGGATAGCAGGTCCGGCGCTCCCACGCAGGTCATGATCGCCACCAGGAGGCGAGGCAGGGTGGCGGGACGGGCCACGGCGGCAGCGGCAGCGGCGGCGGCGGCGCGGCCTTGCGGCGCGATGGGGGCGGAGTCCCGGGGGGGCACGGGCCACGGGGTCCGGCAATTTCTTCCTTTACCACGGCAATTCCTTCCTTTCTCATGCCAAATCATTCCTTTATCGCGGCGCGCTGATCGCGTGTGGGTGTGGTCGCGGCGCACCGGCACGGGTGGGCGAGGAGGAGGCGGGGCATTGCGTTGAAGCCTAGGGTGATGCGCCGAAGCCTGGAACTGTCCGTGGCGGTATGATCGTGGTGAAGCCTCCTCGGAACATATCTGGATCGTTGGTTTTCATACGAGGGGTTTTCTGGGTGCACAATCTGGTGTGCACGGAGAAAACGTCATCTCTGTGCCGGACAAATTTCTAAGTGGATTGAGCATAATTCTGATTGAGCATAATTCTGATTGGTCGCATATAGTAGAGATGGTCAGGATGTGGTTGGTGCAGCACTTGACACATCAACGACTACCCTCCGGTGGGCTATGGCCGAACTAATCGCAAACCCAAGGGTGATGCACAAGGCGCAGCTTGAGATTCGACGCGTCATGGCAGGGCAACAACGAGTACATGAGGCGACTCTAAGGGACCTACACTACCTGAAAGCAGTGATCAAAGAGACCTTACGACTCTGCACCCTCCTGCCCCGTTCGTCCCAAGGGTATGCTTGGATGATCGCATCAAGATCCAAGGATACCATGTGCCGCAGGGGACAATAGTCGTCGCAAACGTTTGGGCTATTTCCAGGGACCCAAAGTACTGGGAGGACCCAGACATGTTCATACCAGAGAGATTTCTTCAGGGTGACCCTGACCACCGCTGTTTGGACTACAAGGGGTTCGATTTTGAGTTCACTCCTTTCGGGGCTGGGCGGAGGATGTGCCCTGGGACAAGTTTCGCTCATATGAATGTTGAGATTGCTCTGGCTAGCCTTCTGTACCATTTTGACTGGAAGCTGCCAGATGGAGCTAAACCGGAGGAGATTGACATGACAGAGCTCTGGGGTGTTACTGTCACAAGGAAGGCTAAGCTATTTCTGCATCCCATTCCCTGTATTCCTCCAGCTGTTGCATCGATTGATGCATAAACCATTTTCATTCACACATATATTTGCATCCGGCCCGTTCCTTGTATATCTTCCAGCTGTAATTAAGATGAATAACATTTTCAAGGACAAATAAAATAACCCTGTAATTACTCGGTCAAATTTGGCTTGTGATCATTATTTGCCTCTCCTTTAATTTTTTGCACCACATCGCCGGCCACTTTGTTCCTTGAGAAGTCAACTAGCGTTTGTTGGATACCCAGCCTACTGTATTTTTTGCGCCACATCGCCGCCCACTTTGTTCCTTGAGAAGTCAACTAGCGTTTGTTGGATACCTCGTCTACAAGTCAACAACTATAGTTTATGAAACCATATGAAAAGATATAAAATTTATGAACAATGTTCTTGTCACTTTGTCGGATAAACAAATGACCAAAATAAAAGTTTTAGATCTTAATGAGTTATACAACTTTTATATTCATGACTTTACCGGCTCAAATTATTTACTCTTTGAAAATGTTGTTTGAAGTTGCCATTTTATGAAGTTCAAAATTTGAACTTTTCAAACTAAGTCACATGAAAAGATGACTAAAATAAAAGTTGTAAATCTTTATGAGTTTTACAACTTTGATGTTTACAACATTTTCATTTTAGATCATTTTATGTCTTAAAATTCAATTCGAAGTTCATAAATTCAAATTTTCAATTTTTTCAATATAATTTTTTTTATTTTTTAAAAAAGAAAATGAATCATTATATATATCAGCAAGTTGTTTTTTATGTGTATGGGCAAATATAGCAAATTATTTTTAATACATTTATAAAAAAAATATGCAGAACTAATATTTAAAAAATACAAAAATATTTGTAGGGGCGGCTAGTGATTGAGCCGCCCCTACAAATCGTATCACCAGCCGCCCCTACTGTGTCATTTATAGAGACGGCTAGTCTCATGGGTCCCAAGCACGCCCACTGTAGGGGCGGCTCCATCACCGATCGCCCCTATAAAAAAATTGTTCCGTTGCTATAAACCTTTTGGGTAGTAGTGCACGCAGCGGAATGTCTATAGCCTAGTGTTAGTTAATCTGTTAAACAGCACGCCGGCAGGCTACAGGCCAGACTGATTTGTTCTTTTCTGGAGAATATAAGCTCTCAACGCAATCTGTTAATGTCTTGGCTAGCTTATCTTTTGCTATGCTTGCCATTTTTTAAACCGTAGTGGGCGGACGAGTGGTAGTGAAAACTACCTACACTAGTCATGACGTATTGTTTGTTTCGTGGATTTCTGAAAGAATCATTGCAAATACGGTATACTCTCATAAGTTATAGGACCATATTATACTCAAGAACCATAAGAATTTATTCGAATTGATTGATATTTCTCACAAAAAAATATTTAAAAGGGGGCTAGTACAGTTAATCTTTAGGTTGAGAGGAGAGATCGAATCTGTAATTGGGTACATAATAATGGTTGTTGAGGCAGGTCATTGCAATGACCAGAGAAACGTAGCTCGCGCACGCCTTGGCCACGCCGCCCTTCTCCGAGGCTGCGATGCCCTTCTCCGAGGCTGCGCCGCCCGCCTCCATGGCCACCCGCTCGATCTAGGGTTACGGGAGGGAGTTGCCCGTAACAGCGCGACTCCAGGAGGATGAACAGTCACGACTCCCAGAGATGATTGAGTTCATTTGCTTCTCTAGAGGGCATTACGGTCTTTTTCCATCGGCTGAAATGGACAGCTAATGGTGCTTGCTCAGAACTGACAGAAATGTCATATAGGAAAAAAAAACTCGAGTGGGGACGAATAGGAAAGAATTTTAGTTTGGATGTTATATAAGAGAGCAGCATTATTTCTGGTGTCAAATAGGAAATCTTCTCAATTCAAATAGTATTACAACTTGATTAAAAGATAAGGAAACCACGGGCAATGCTACGATAGGGATAACTATTCGAGCCATCCACCAGTGTCTTTGGCCCGTTCAAAAGAATTATTTTAGCACTCCAAATTCCCACACCGCTCCATCTCTGCCATGTTCTAAGTCTCGCCATCTCAAATTGTCCTTTCAACATAGCCCTAAATAATATGGTTGATCCACTCTTTTTCATATGTTTCTAGCTGAACAACTAAATAGATTGTGTCAATTATAATGATCATGGCTCAAATTTGATGTACTTCATAGTGATGGCCGAGGAGAGAAAAACAAGTCCAGTTAGACAGTACAAATATGAGAAACCATAAAAAGAATATCCACTTTTGACATGTCCTAGGCTATTGGTTAATTTGATTTTTGGTGCACATGCATGAGAAGCTCGCAAGCAGCACAAAGCACGTAGTTTAGATTTTTTTTTTCTCTTCGAGAGAATGTAGTCACACAGAGACAAATATGATCATAGTATGGTTCACAACAATACGGTGGAGCGGCTTAATAAATAGTAAGCCAGAGATCAACAAGTTCATGGGTGTCAGTGATGGTCCTATAGTTTGTTTTGTAGTGCTTGCTGCAACGAATATTGGTGTGATGATGATGCCGGCTAATGAATGTTTGAGACAACAATGGCTCCACAGCAAACATAAGCAACATTCTGTTAAATACAATGATGTTTTAGGACAAAAGTGGCTACTAATTAAGGATCCATAAACAAGGTACAAATGGTTCTAAGTTTAAATTTACAAGAGGATCAAAGAATTAAAAAAAATTGTGAGGGACTTTTATCGAGCTCATTGAAGAATTGAAGACTGTCTGGATCTAGTATCGGCAGAAATTGCATAGTTATTATGGGATACAGATAAAAAGGAAGAGACTTGATGTAATTGAGAACAAAAAAAAATTAGCCAATGATAGCAGTATGGAAGTTCGTTCAAGTGGATGTTGTCAATCAAACAAAAAAAAAACTATAATGATTACAATTAAAAAAACTAGCTAACCCACGCTGCGAGGATCACCACCATGTTTATTCTTTATAAAAGCAGGTAGGGATTAGTTAGTCGCAAGAGAACTGAGAAGAGATCATATGTGGCAGAACCGCTCCAAATAATACACTTACGGAGGCACTTGTCTTCCACCAGACACTAAGCACCCCAAAAGCGAGCTACAGCGGGCGGTATCCGTCGGGCACACCCCAAGGGAGAGCCCGAAAAATCCACAATTTTCCTCAAGGATCAATAATGAGAACGAGTTACAATACTTAATACATTTCATACATCCAGAGTTCTTAGAAATTCATTATTACATTGCCAAATCTCAGAGTGCGGAATATTAAACAACGGAATAAAAATAAACATCTAGTGACAAAGATCCGTCTATGCCCACCAGAAGAATCCTTCACACAATGGTACTCCTCAAACATTACCTGCAACAGGAGTAAATAAACTCTGAGTACGCAATATACTCTCAAGACTTATCCGACCAGTGGGAATAGCTTCCCGACTCCAAGGGATATGCAAGGCTTTATGGTTTCCTGGCTTCCTTTTTGTAGAAAGCAATACTAATAGTGAGTCCTTATTTATGTTATTATTAATAGTCGTATTAATTTCTTATCTATCCATTCTATGTAAGCACCTGTTCTACTTTCAAACAAGAGTTGAGCAATCAGTTCCATTTCATCACCTCTCAGCTTTTAGTTCTTACTACGATGCTAAACCGTAGACAAGTCATACCAGAACGCCGGTGATTCGCAAATCAATGCCCCCAGCTGGGTACCCTAAAAACACACGCCCCGCTTGTACCCCAGGCACAAGCAGGACCAACCCATCACCCTCTTGTCCTGGGGTCCAGGTCCCTATCCAAACTTGGACTCCAAGCCCCCGCTCTTAAGTCCCAGACTTAGTGCGGTGCAAGGACCTCCACTATCCCCACCTCCAATCAAGTCTTCCCTACGTCCATACCCAAGTATGTGGTCGGGATAATAAATCTGTAACTTGCCTAGAGCCTTATGCAACGGTCGGTCCTTAACCGACACAAACAGGGAAAAAGTGTAACCAAGCTATGCCCTGTTGGCCGCAGGACACAACCTCTTACACCCACCAATATCCAAACCATATCCCTGCCTAGTCACCATTTTTCTTTCCACCATTTTATCATGAGTGATCATAATTATCACCTATTGTGAGTAACGACAGGTTACTCAAGCTACCGAAATCCTGAGCATAGCAGCTACTCAACCTGAACTAGTATGACTCATAGGTAGATATATTTATGCATGTAGTTTTCATAAAATGTCTGTAACATAAATACACATCATATATATATTCAGTGATCATAAAATATGGGTTATGCACCGGGGCTTGCCTTGGGCAGGTGGTGGGTCAGTAAAGTCAGCACCAAAAGGCTCCGGAGCTCCCTCCTGCATGAGGATCTCCTCCTCGTACTCCTCAATGACCTCTTCGTAATCTTGTTCGTCCACGAACACGAACTCTACCAACTCGTGATCTACATGCATGAAATGATGATGCAACACTTATTAATTTGGCAACAGCCACTCTTAAATTATGAATACATTTGTCAAGCTACTCAACTAGCTCTACCGACTAAGGTGCTAAGTTACCTACTGTTACCACTAACCAGTATGAAGCGTGACATATATTATCTTTACAACTAAAGATATTCTTACTCTTAATACCAATTTACTCTACATACGATAAAATAAGGGGTACTAGCTACTCTATTTATCAACCTACTTTAGGGCTATAGAAATTACAGTGAGTACATAATAATCTAACAAACCTACTGTAAAATTTTCATGGCTAAAGCTATCATCAATTTGCCATAAAAATTCCTACAAATATTAATCTACATAATACTAAGCTCTCTAATTTGAATTTATGAACCTATCAGTATTACAGCTAACTGTAAACTAACTACACCAACAGATAGATAGTATTTTTGTGAACCTAACAAAATTTATTTCACTATTTTAGGACATCTATAGAATGTACTATTATTTTTCAAAGTTTAGCTCAAAACTAAATTGAATAAACATTTGTTAATTCACTGAAAATTGAAAAACTAAACTTCACCAAGCGGCGCGCTACACGCGGCTCGGC